TGCCACACTTACAAAACTGCTCAATGTGCTTTTACCACCTATAGTATTTTTACAGATTTGTCCATTGAGCTAATCAAAAAATTTAAAATACTTTCTATAGAAAATCAAATAGGTGTCATATCATCTCAGAGGTATTTTTGTTTTTATTTTAAAGTAAAATCCTAGCTACTCTGGTGGCAGAGGAAGGAAAATCACAAATTTGAGCCAGCTTGGGCAACTCCACCAGATGTTATCTCACAACAAAATAATGGCTGGGGATAACAGCTCAGTACTCCCTGGGTTCAAACCTCAGTACTAAAGGGGGAAAGGGGAAGTGAGATACAGAAACCAAGACATTATAGCTAAATAGCTCAGATGTTATTTCAAAGGTTAAAAAAACACTCATAACCCAAACATTTATACAAAATTCCCACCACTATTTTAACATTATGAAGTCCTTTATTATTCTTATGCAATAAACTCTTTGTTTTTCCAATTTACTAAGTGAGGGAGACAAGGATGCATGAAGAACATTTATGATGAGTGAGCCACAGCTCAAAATACAATTGGATACTCATGCTGAGACAATGAATAGAAAGAGGAGAAATACCCTTTGCAGTGAAATTTTAGAAATTAATATTACTGAAGAATGGCCATTCTGAGGTGACATGAAGATTTTGACTAAAGGAAGCAATTTTATGACATTAAATTTATATGCACTATCCTACTGGACTAGGTTTAAAAAAAAACACCCTTATGTGATATGCTCTAGTAAATACAAAACAATTATTTATAATCAGGTTCTTACTAGTTTAATCATTTGTCCTATAAGTTTGCTTAAAACCAAAATATTTTTCATCGCAGGCTAGAGGATGACAACTTTAGGCCCATGTCCAAATTGCTAAATTTCTAGCTAGGGGAATCTTTATCACAGGTGTAATATCCAAAAGGAACAAGTCTGTGTGGTTCTGATGTGCGGTCTCTGACAGGAAGGAGTTTTCTGAAGCTTGCTGTGCAACCCCTGGTGAATTGTACTCACTTAGACTGGAGGAAGAGGTGTGGGTAGTGAAGGAGGTCACAGAGGAAATAAAATGGCTAACAAAGAAACAAGAAGGAAATAGTAGGAAGCAGAAAGGGGAAATAATATATTCATTGTCACAGGTCACCAGGAAAATAATCTAAATCCGTTATTAGAGGTACATGTCAGTGACAAAACACAAAAACTGTTCACCTTCTTTCTCTTGGGGTGCTATAACGATAGGGGAATTAATGAAATCAATACTCTTTAATGCTCTCCTCCTATAAATTTTAGCGATTCAGGACAAGGTAAGTTAGTCCACCTCTAGCATTGTGATTATACACATGTACTCACAAGCCAGACTACCACTTTCTAGAGACAAATTATTGCACCTTTCTGTGCCTTAGCTTCTCACCTGAAAAATTAGAATGGTACCTACTTCATAGAGATGCTAGAATTTAGACAGTTTTATAAACATTACCTTTAGAATAGTACCCTAATAAGAGCTACATAATGAGTGGCTATTATTTGTTTTTAAATTTTTTCCTGTGAAAAGGTCTCACTATGTTACCCAGGCTAGCCTCCAACTCCTAGGCTCAAGTAATCCTTCACCTCAGCATCCCGAGTAGGGGGAAATAAACGTGTGTGCTACCAATGCCAGGCTTAGCTATTATTATCTGCCTTGTCTCTCTCTGGCCTCCCAAAAATGGAGGGTTCAGAGTTTTTCCAACTTCTAGACTACAGACTTTTTTTTTTCAGTCTACAGATTTTGATCATTTCATCCCTTCAGATATGACTTGATAAGGAACAGGGTGTGGGTTGAGAGAGGCAGAACAGTTAAGGATTACTTCAACACCTAAGCCACTAAAAAGGATTTTAGGAGGCAAATCAAGAATTTTGTTTCGTATATGTTAAGCTCAATATGCCTTTTAAAATTTAACAGAAAAAAATGTAACAGAGATATGGAGGAGACAGCAGGGCACAGAAGTTCAGAGTTCAGGGGAGAGGAACAGACTGGGACTGTACATTTGGAAGTCATCAGCATATAAACAGTATTTAAAGACATGGCAATACTGCCCTTCTAGTGGCTCAGGCTTGATGTAATCCTTATCACATAATCATCTATCTAGGATTTAAATTTAATTCAATTTAAAGTCCATAATATTAGCTGAATCTTTATCTTTCGAGGCAATTTATCCAATCCTTTGGCTACAAATCAATTCATCTATTCATATAACAAATACAGTGGTACCTTGGTTCATGAATGCTTGGTTCACAAACAAGTGTTTGGCACAATTTTGTTTTTATTTGCAAACTACATCAGATGACAAACATGTCCACGGCCACCCTTCCTACACAAACACAAATGTGGACATCTTTTCCGAAACTGTGGACAAATTAAGTTCATGAACTGAAGTGCATCTTACTATGCTAGGCACTATAAATCCAGCAGTGAACAAAACTGACAAAATTCCAACCTTTACAAGCTTAGAAACTAATGGGATATAGCATTAATCAAATAATCACACAAATATAATATGTAGTTGTCAACTGTGACATACAGTATATGAAATTATGAGGAAAGTTATTTAGATGAAGGAAGACGAAATCACAAGGTTTCTCTTAACATCTACGTTGAGGCAAACAACACCAATTTCCAATATATATGAGCTCCAAGAAACTATTTTGTAGGCTGTATCATTGGGAAAAATAGTTTATCTTTTGCTTACTCATTTGGGGTTGAATGGGATATTTGATATAAGTAGTAAGTATTTAAGATAAATATAAACAATGAGATGCACCACTACACACCTACTAAAAGGGCCAAAAATCCAAAAACAACAAAAGCTAGAAAGGACATGGAGCAATAGGAACTATCATTCTTTCCTTCTGGGAATTCAAAATTGTATTTGGGAGATGGTTTGGCAGTTTATTATAAAATTAAACATAGTCTTATCTGATCGGCGAGCAATTATATGCTCCTTTGTATTAATCTAAATGAGTTGAAAACTTTTGTTCACACAAAAAACTGCACACAAATGTTTATAGCATCTTTATTCAGAATTGCTTGCCCAAACTTGAAAGCAACCAAAATGTCCTCTGGTGGATGGATAAATAAAATGTGGTACATGCCAGCAGTTATTCAGCACTAAAATTCAACGAGCTACCAAGCCATGAGAAGACATGGAGGAATCTTAAGTGCATATAACTAAGCAAAAGAAGAAAATTTGAAAAGGCTACTACAGGATTCCAGCCATATGACACTCTGGAAAAGACAAAACCATAGAGACAGTAAAAGACTCAGTGCTTGCCAGTGATTATGAGGGAGAAAGGAACAAACACAAGCCCAGAGGATTCTTAAGGCAATGAAGCCATTCTATATAACTTTCTAAAGATATACACGTTATTAAACAGTTGTCAAAATGCGTAACACCTTATGCACATAACATCCACTCTTCTCTTAACTAGGCTCAAGTGTCACCTCTGCTATGAAGTTTTGGCAAATTTTCTGCGGAAGGCTGTTTCTCCTTTCTGTTCCAAAAATACTTTGTCTCTCACACAGCACTTAAACCCCACTGTAATAATTTATATCTATTCCCCCACTATAATGTGAGTATAATGTGAGTTTAAAAACACAGTTTCATGAACTTTGGGGTATTCTTAACTAGGCTCAAGTGTCACCTCTGCTATGAAGTTTTGGCAAATTTTCTGCGGAAGGCTGTTTCTCCTTTCTGTTCCAAAAATACTTTGTCTCTCACACAGCACTTAAACCCCACTGTAATAATTTATATCTATTCCCCCACTATAATGTGAGTATAATGTGAGTTTAAAAACACAGTTTCATGAACTTTGGGGTATGTGTATATAT